ATCCCTTTATTTTGAGCCTATGTGTGTCTCCGCATGTGAGACGGGTCTCTTGAATTCAGCAAACTGATGGTTCTTGACTCTTTATCCAATTTTCCAGTCTGAGTCTTTTAATTGGACAATTTAGTCCATTTACATTTAAGGTTAATATTGTTATGTGTGAACTTGATCCTGTCATTATGATATTAGCTGGTTATTTTGCTCGTTAGTTGATTCAGTTTCTTCCTAGCATCAATGGTCTTTACATTTTGGCATGTTTTTGCAATGGCTGGTATCAGTTGTTCCTTTCTATGTTTAGTGCTTCCTTCAGGATCTCCGGTAGGGCAGGCCTGGTGGTGAGAAAATACCTAAGCATTTGCTTGTCTGTAAAGGATTTTATTTCTCCTTCACTGATGAAACTTAGTTTGGCTGGATATGAAATTCTGGGTTGAAAATTATTTTCTTTAAGAATGTTGAATATTGGCCCCCACTCTCTTCTGGCTTGGAGAGTTTCTGCCGAGAGATCTGCTGTTAGTCTGATGTGCTTCCCTTTGTGGGTAACCCGACCTTTCTCTCTGGCTGCCCTTAACATTTTTTCTTCATTTCAATTTTTGTGAATCTGACAATTAAGTGTCTTGGAGTTGCTCTTCTTGAGGAATATCTTTGTGGCATTCTCTGTAGTTCCTGAATTTGAATGTTGACCTGCCTTACTAGGTTGGGGAAGTTCTCCTGGATGATATCCTGCAGAGTGTTTTCCCACTTGGTTCCATTTTGCTGTCAGTTTCAGGCACACCAATCAGATGTAGATTTGGTCTTTTCACATAATCCCACATTTCTTGGAGGCTTTATTTCTTTTTATTCGTTTTTCTCTACACTTCTCTTCTTCCTTCATTTCATTCATTTGATCTTCAATCACTGATACTCTTTCTTCCAATTGATTGAGTCAGTTACTGAAGCTTGTGCATTTGTCACGTAGTTCTCGTGTCACGGTTTTCATCTCTATCAGTTCGTTTATGGTCTTCTCTGCATTGATTATTCTAGTTATCCATTCTTCCATTCTTTTTTCAAGGTTTTTAGTTTCTTTGCGCTGGGTACGTAGTTCCTCCTTTAGCTCTGAGAAGTTTGATCAACTGAAGCCTTCTTCTCTCAACTCGTCAAAGTCATTCTCCATCCATTTTTGTTCCATTGCTGGTGATGAGCTGCCTTCCTTTGGAGGGGGAGATGCACTCTGATTTTTTTGAATTTCCAGCTTTTCTGCACTGCTTTTTCCCCATCTTTGTGGTTTTATCTGCCTTTGGTCTTTGTTGATGGTGACGTACCTGGGGGTTTTGGTGTGGGCATCCTTTCTGTTTGTTAGTTTTCCTTCTAACAGTAAGGACCCTCAGCTGCAGGTCTGTTGAAGTTTGCTTGAGGTCCACTCCAGACCCTGTTTGCCTGAGTATCAGCAGCGGAGGTTGCAGAAGATAGAATATTGCTGAATAGCGAGTGTTGCTGTCTGATTCTTGCTCTGGAAGCTTTGTCTCAGAGGTGTACCCAGCTGTGTGAGGTGTGACATGTTGGTCTGCACTTTAGTGGGCGATGTCTCCAGTTAGGCTAGTCAGGGGTCAGGGACCCACTTGAGCAGGCAGTCTGTCCATTCTCAGATCTCAGTGTGCTGGGAGAACCACTGCCCTCTTCAAAGCTGTCAGACAGGGACATTTACATCTGCAGAGGTTTCTACTCCTTTTGTTTAGCTATTCCCTGTCCCCAGAGGTGGAGTCCACAGAGGCAGGCAGGCCTCCTTGAGCTACGGTGGGCTCCAACCAATTCAAGCTTCCAGGAGGCTTTGTTTACCTACTTAAGCCTCAGCAATGGTGGGTGCCCCTCCCCCAGCCTCGCTGCCACCTTGCAGTTAGATCTTAGACTGCTGTGCTAGCAATGAGGGAGGCTCCGTGGGCATGCGACCCTCCAGGCCAGGTGTGGGATATAATCTCCTGGTGTGCCGTTTGCTAAGACCCTTGGTAAAGCGCAGTATTAGGGTAGGAGTTACCCAGTTTTCCAGGTGTTGTGTGTCTCCGTTTCCCTTGGCTAGGAAAAGGAATTCCCTTCCGCCTTGCACTTCCCAGGTGAGGCGATGCCTCACCCTGCTTCAGCTCTTGCTGGCCAGGCTGCACCTGCAGACCAGCATCAACTGTCCGACATGCCCCAGTGAGATGAACCCAGTACCTCAGTTGAAAATGCAGAAATCACCCACCTTCTGTGTCACTCACGCCGGGAGCTGGAAGCTGGAGTTGTTCCTACTGGGCCATCTTGGGCGCCCCCCACTTCTTCTTTTTTCTTTTTCTGAGATGGAGTCTTGCTCTGTCACCCAGGCTGGAGTGCAGTGGTGCAGTCTTGGCTCACTGCACCCTCCGTCTCCCTGATTCAAGCGGTTCTCCTGCCTCAGCCTCCAGAGTAGCTGGGACTACAGGGATATGCCACCATGCCCAGCTAATTTTTTGTATTTTTAGTAAAGATGGGGTTTCACTGTGTTAGCCAGGATGGTCTCGATCTCCTGAACTTTTGATCTGCCCATCTCAGACTCCCAAAGTGCTGGGATTACAGATATGAGCCAACATGCCTGGCAGAAGGAATAAGTTTTTCAGAGTCCTCAGGAAAGGTTAAATTTTATCACTGGGAACAAATACTTATTTTCCTTGAAGTGACAACCTCTCACTTCATTTATTTTTGAGAATGAAAGGTGTACTTTTTTTTTAGACCGAGTCTCACTCTGTCACTTGGCTGGAGTGCATTGGCATCATCTCAGCTCAAGCAGTCCTCTCACATCAGACTCCCCTGTAGCTGGGACCACAGATGGGTGGCACCACACCAGGCTAATTCTTTTTTGCATTTTTGGTAGTGAGAGGGTTTTGTTACCTTGCCTAGGCTGGTCTCAAACTCCTGCAGGAGCTCAAGCCATCTGCCTGCGTTCACCTCCCAAAGTGCTGGGATTTTACAGGCATGAGCTACTGCGCTGACCCAGTTGTACTTTTAAATAAAAACGATGTTCTGTGAAAAAAGTGATTGTTCAGTTCACAATTAACTCACTAATTCTTTTTAAAACAAAAACAAAAAACTGTACTGCAGTCAGCAGAAATGCTTCTTATTAACTTTCCGCTTATTCAGAATATTAAAGAGACATGCCAAAGTTTAATAACAACATTAATTTTTACTGCTTCATTAAAGACATTCTTAAGTAATTCAGGCTGTCTTTTTTAACGGTAGGGGACAGCAAAGAATAGAATGACTACAAATGTAATTGGTACCACTGCCTTGATTTATGCTGAGAAACCAACAGTTTTACCCACTTTTGCTTTTATACAATCATGGCAAGTGTCAACGAAAAAGCAGGCAATGACTTTGTATTCCTTTTACAAATTTTTAAATTTTTTATTCAGCTTTCTCAGGTATGATTCAGTACAGTGTTGGCCAGGCACAATGGCTCAGGCCTGCAATCCCAGCACTTTGGGAGGCTAAGGTGAGCAGATCACCTGAGGTCAGGAGTTCAAGACCAGCCTGGCCAACATGGTGAAACCACGTCTCTACTGAAAATACAAAAATTAGCCAGGCGTGGGGGCAGGTGCCTATGATCCCAGCTACTCAGGAGGATGAGGTAGGAGAATCACTTGAACCTGGGAGGCGGAGGTTGCCATAAGCCGAGATTGCACCATTGCACTCCAGCCTGGGCAACAAGAGTGAAACTCGGTCTCAAACAAACAAACAGTGTTGACCTCTTAGCCCTTCTGGAAATCGGTCTTGGGGATCCCGAGAGGTCCACAGAGCACATTTGGGGAACCACTGGTTTATCACGTAGGCACAATGCATTAGGCTTACAAAGTTTAAAGTTCATCAAAGACTGGCCTCTTAAAAAGGCAGATGAGTTTTTAATTCAAACAACAGAAAATACACAAATACATCATGAGAGTATACTACAGAGAACTAAAGAGAAAGGAAGCTAGGAAATCTGAATCACGTTTACATTTATTAAAGTTCATCACTACTGCTTTGTAAAACATTCTTGTGTTTCAGTGTGTGGTTAGAAGAGTGAAAATATATTTGGTTTGTTGCCATTGCCTGTTAGGGAGAGTCAGTACTTATGGGCATTTCTGACTGGTTACATATAAAAGACTTCACAGTACAGGACATGAAGTTCTGAGAAAGAAGAAGTCAGGAAACCCTCTGCAAGTCAGGATCCAGGAGAAAAATTTGTAAAAACTGCTTCAGTAAAGTAAACAGCAAAGCACACAGGAGGCAGTATTTTACTAAACATATGTGATACTAATATATTAACAGTTTTTGAAGTAATGCACATTCTTATTTTATAGACATGCAGATGGATCTTTGAGCATATTTGATGAACAGTTATACTCATTTACGGTAAGTGGCGCTTTTATTGAAATTGTATTTTCATCATACACTTGTATCTGTTTCATGCTGAAGTCAAAGGCATCTTTTTAAAAATCTTCCCCATTTCATGTCGTATTTAGTCATCTTAAGTGTTGTAAAAAGAATGTGCTGGAATAAGAACTATCTGCAGCTCTGTTTAGTTAGTGAGCTTGTATGAGTAAATATACTATCCAAATAACGGAAAATGTATCTCTTTTTTTTTTTTTTTGAGACGGAGTCTCTTTCTGTAGCCCAGGATGGAGTGCAGTCGCACAATCTTGGCTCACTGCAGGCTCTGTCTCCCAGGTCCCTGTTCAAGCAATTCTCCTGCCTCAGCCTCCCGAGTAGCTGGGATTACAGGCATGCGCCACCGTGCCCAGCTAATGTTTTTTTTCTTTTTTTAGTCAAGACAGGGTTTCACCATGTTGGCCAGGATAGTCTTGAACTCCTGACCTCGTGATCCACCCACCTCGGCCGCCTTAAGTGCTGGGATTACAGGTGTGAGCCACTGTGCCTGGCCCAGAAAATGTATCTTTCTAAAAGGTAATTGTGAGCTGTCTATAGGACCCTGCAGGTCACTACCCAATTCTCAAAGCCATTCCTCCTTCTGTTCCACACAGGTTTCCACCATGCACATTACCCAGACAAGATATGGAGGTGGGAGTTTTAGTAACTATTCCTCCTCCATTCCATCGACTCCCAGCACCAGCCAGGAGGACCTTCAGGTCAATGTTCCTCCCACTGCCAACACACCCACGCCCGTTTGCAAGCGGTCCAAGCACTGGTCCAAGCTGTTTACATCTGAGAAAGGGAGTCACCCAGACAAAGAGAACAAAGCCCGGGAGAGCCATGCTGACACCATCGGGAGCGGCAGAGCCATCCCCATTAAACAGGGCATGCTCTTAAAGCTAAGTGGGAAATGGCTGAAGAAATGGAAAAATATGTTACCCTCTGTGACAATGGCATGCTCACCTATTATTCAAGCTTAGGTGATTATATGAAGAATATTCACAAAAAAAGAGATTGACCTGCGAACATCTACCATCGAAGTCCCAGGAAAGAGGCCACCCCTAGCCACATTGGCCTGTGCGCCCATTTCCAGCTCTAAAGGCAATTGCGTATCCAAGGACATGAACAGTCTATGTACCTCAGCCAATTCAGACACCGGACTGGGTGACTCCATATGCTCCAGCCCCGATATCTCCAGCACCACCAGCCCCAAGCTCAACCCACCCCCCTCTTCTCATGCCAACAAAAAGAAACACCAAAGGAAGAAATGCACCAACAACTTAAAAGACAATGGCCTGTCTGGCACTGCTGAAAAACAAGCAGAAAACTTTATCATTGTGTCCCTCACCGGCCAAACGTGGCACTTTGAAGCCATGACGTATGAGGAGCGGGATGCCTGGGTCCAAGCCATTGAGAGCCAGATCGTGGCCAGCCTGCAGTCAGGCGAGAGCAGCAAAAGCAAGTTCCGGCTGCTTTAGACTAGCACAAGATTATTTACTAACAATCTTGATCTTTAGCCACATTTCTCTGCAATAAATTTGCTATGATGCCATGATGGGGATCAGCAAGCTACGTTTTCCAAGTTCCTTCTAGTGGGATCCTGTTGGTTCTGCTATTGGGAGGTACTAGAGAAACATAGAAAGGCAAGAGAATGGAAGAATAGATCTCCTTTTCCTGTTTATTTGCTGTCCTTGCCGATGTTCTCCCAAGAACATCCCCTTGCCGTAGGAGCAGTAATTGTTTCAGTTTACCAGTTTTTTCAGAGCCCCAGAAAGTGCCTCTTCAGAGGTAACAGCAGCAGTTGGAACATACCTCTCCCTCAGAGATCTAGTCTCAGCCCAGGAAGGCTTTTACTCTGAGTTTTAATTGTAATAACTCCAGTCTCTTCCCTTCATTCATCTAAGCTCTGAGGAGGCCCCTATGTGGCCAGGAGATGGTGGTGATGGCTGCATCTTGCAGTCATTTTCTTTGCTTTCCACAGTGTTGTTACTTGTTTCTCCTATTTCCTATGTGGTCAATGTTTTAATATTAACTCATAGTCATAGTGTAGTGTTAGTACTTTATGTGAAATGACATGTTTTTTATAATGTAGCCATGGCCTACTAATAGCATATTTTCTTTTAGATTTGGTAATATATATTTTGCTTCAGTGACTTTATACACTTATTTGTTGCCCAAATTAGTTTTTCATATACAAAACATCCAATATTACCCTGTTCCCATCATTTCTTCTGATATCCATTGTCCTGTGATTTCTCCTGGAAAGTGAATTGTTTATCCATCCATTTCACTCTGTGAAGTCATACAGGTCTATCTATGTAGAACTCCTGTGCTGCAATTTATTCCCTGTGTGAAACTGGGCAATTCATTAATCTGGGAATATGTTTCTTCATATGCAAATCAGAGGTAACACTTACCTCACAACATTGTTTAGAGCATTAAAAGAAATATCATATGATGTCTTTCACACAGAATTTCCCTGGGTGTGAATTGAACAATGTCAGTTTTTCTCCCATTTAATGTGAAAACTGACTATATAAATAAACATATTGTAGAGGAAACACAGGCTCAGATAGGATATAAATTGCCCGTATCACAAAATTAGTAAGTGATGGAGCTAAAATACAAACAAGATTTACCTATTTACAAAAATCAATAATTTTTCCTCTAAAACAAGTCACTATATGTCTTTGGTTGTTAAGTGAAATGTACTCAACTTCACATTTTAAAATATGCCACAAATGTACCCATAAAGCAAGTGAACATGACTATTGAGTGAGATCACAATTATTAAAAAGTTTGCCTTGGGAACAAAGACAGTACAGTGACCCTCAGGGAACTGAATTACATACCCAAAGGGGACATGTGCCATCTACCTGGGCTCAATGGGGGTTTTCCAATGGATTCTTTGTAAATAGGTGTTGCACATACTTCTGTGTCTTTAAGCTTTCCTTTATAACTTCCAGACCTACTTCTGATGGTGATGAGTTTCTTTCAAACCTAACCCTAGATATGGGGTCAGCTTTAGGCAAAATTGTGAGTTGCTAGCTAACAAAAGTAGCTAATATTTTAACGAAATGTCTTATTATTAAGCTAAATGCCAAACACTATTCATTACATGTATTAATAAGTTATCACAATTTTATGAAGTAGACATGACATTTTTAATTATCAGTTGAAGAAACTAAGACACAGAAAACTTAAATACTTTACCCAAAGTCATGTTGCTTGTGGAGAAGTTGCAATTCATCTTGGTTATCTTGACCTAGAGTCTGCGTGCTGGATGACTATTTTAGACGGTTACATGTGCATGCAGATTTCAGTGCTTGTCTGGTCCCACTCCCTCCTAACCGTTCTGTCCCCTAGTGACTTCATCCTGTTCCCTACTTCTCAAGACTGCTTCTCTTCTTGGATACTTTTTCATATTCCAGAACTAATCATTCTGTTTCTTTTCTTTCTGCTCATCATGCCAAAGGCAAAGTTAGCAGGGTAGCTGACATAAAGGAATTCATACTAAACAATGGCATGCTGAATTTGTAAAATTCCCCAGAGTTAAATAGGTAGAGTGAAAGGTGTAATTTCTTCTTTGAAGAAAACAATGCTGAATTTTACTTAAATGAATGATAAGTATAATTTTGACATGTATTTGTAATCTGCATGAGTAATATATCCTATCATGCTTCACATTCTCACACTCTTATACCATTAAGGATCTCTACATCTGTCCCCAATCAGCTACCACTTCTCTTCCTCAGCTGTTATGACAGGTCTGAAAATTAAATTTTAAAAGTAGTTCCTAGGTTTTAAACTTTTTAAAATTTTTTTCCTGGAAGGACATGATGAGTAACCTCATTGTCAGCAAATGCGTTAGGTATTAAGGAGAACAGTCCTAATGGCAATAGCTAATATTTTTTGCCAGAGCCGAGTTTCAGTATCTCTTTGCAACTGTGTGACAGCATGATCATATTAATTCTTATTACAAACCTATGAAGTGGCTATCTGCTTTATTTTTATTTTATAGGGGAAAAGCAAGTCCTTAGAGAGTCTAAGTAACTTGGCTCTGGATTTGAACTTCATTCTAGCTATCTCTACAACTTGACCTTTGAGCATTATACCACCTTATATGTCAACCTTACCTTGAAAAGCAACAAGCAAACCAAATAAATAAAACAATAAGAACAACCTATAATAAAAAGCCTTCTCAGTCAGGTGCAGTGGCTTACACCTGTAATCCCAGAATTTTGGGATGCTGAGGGAGGAGGATGGGGTGAGCCCAGGAGTTTGAGACCAACCTAGGCAACACAGTGTAACCCTGTCTCTACAAAAAAAATACAAAAATCATATAGGTGGACATGGTGGTGCTCACCTGTAGTCCCAGCTACTCAGGAGGCTGAGGTAGAAGGATTTCTTGAGCCCAGGAGGCAGAGGCTGCAGTGAGTTGAGATAGTGCCACTGCACTCCAGCCTTAGCAACAGAGAGAAACCATTTCTGAAAAAAAAAAAAAAAGAAAAAGGACTTATTCAGTATATTCTATAGCAACCAAAAAATACCATTGAATGAATGGGGAAGAAAATTAGATCAACTGCTGTGAAGTCAACTTGTTTACTCCTGATCAAGAAGTAGCAGATTTTACCTCTGTGGCATTAGTAAAACAGATCTTTGCACAGGGCGCGGTGGCTCACACCTGTAATCCCAGCACTTTGGGAGGCCGAGGCAGGCAGATCACGAGGTCAGGAGATGGAGACCATTCTGGCTAACACGGTGAAACCTCGTCTCTACTAAAAATACAAAAAATTAGCCGGGCGTGGCGGTGTGCGCCTGTAGTACCAGCTACCAGCTACTTGGGAGAATGGTGTGAACCTGGAAGGCGGAGCTTGCAGTGAGCAGAGATTGAGCCACTGAGCTCCAGCCTGGGAGACAGAATGATAAAAAAAATTTTATATGTATATATATATAAATTTATATATATGTACACACATATAATTTTTTGCTTCCAAATACATATTTTAAATGTTTGATACATGGGGACACATCACAGTGTATACTGTCAAATTACTTTGAGTTATAAACAGAAGAGGAAAATCAAAATAGGAAAATTATAATAGCCTTAAATCTCTCAGTTGATATTAAAAATACTAAATGCTGGGCCGGGCGCCATGGCTCACACCAGTAATCCCAGCACTTTGGGAGGCTGAGATGGGTGGATCACGAGGTCAAGAGATGGAGACCATCCTGGCTAACACGGTGAAACGCCATCTCTACTACAAATACAAAAAAATTAGCCGGGCGTGGTGACGGGTGCTTGTGGTCCCAGCTACTCGGGAGGCTGAGGCAGGAGAATGGCGTGAACCTGGGAGGCGGAGTTTGTAGTGAGCGGAGATCCAGCCACTGCACTCCAGCCTGGGCGACAGAGCAAGACTCCTTCTCATAAAAATAAAAAGAGAAAAAAAAAGACAAAAACTAAAATCTGGTAGCTAGGGTAAAATTAATATAAGAAAAGAATAGATACAGCACTCACTTTTTCTATACCCCCAAGTGTTTTAATTATTTCTATATTTGGAAATGAATTCATAATCTATTAGTCACATTATTTGGAATTTCAAATTATAATTTTGTTTCAGATAAAAGCCTTGTCCTTTAAAAACATACGTTTGGATGAATAAACAAAGCAAACTTGGTATGACTTTCATGTAAACTACTTTATCATTCTATATTGCTACATTGAGTTAGTGAGGTCAGAGTTTTGATAGAATGAGAACATTCATACAGTGAATTGCAGACATATTTGAAGAAATGATGTTGGCTTTGTCTAGGGCTGAGGGTGATGTTGCAGGGCAAGTGTAAAGGACAGAGTCACATAGAGACTCCCGAGAACTAGAAAGCAACCAGTGAGTCCCAGCATCTGAAAGCAAGGAAGTGTCAGTGTAGTTCCGTATAAATTTAGTAAAACATAAAGCAAGCACGCAATTGTTTTCCAACACAATATACTAATTGGAGTGGCAGAATTGTATGGTAGAAAGAACATACAAATGGCAAATATATTCACAACACTGTGCCAAGTGCAGTGAGAGGTACAGTGACATAAAAACATGCATTTTCAGACATTACAGTCAGTTTGAGGATTTAATATATTAATGATGTACAGAGATCTAAAATTTCCTTAAGTATGTATTATGCATGCTGAATGCTAGGAAATGTGTGCTAAGTATTTTATTCTGGATTCTCTCAGATAAAACTGACCTCATAGCTCTGAGTTAAGTGATTTGATATTTACCACATAAGAAAATTGAAGTACAAATGAGGAAATCGAGGTACAGACACATTAAGCAACTTGTCCATGACTATACAGCTGCTACGCAGAGCATCTGGGATTCAAATCTAGGAATGAGTAAAGAATTTTATTACTAATTGCATAAGTAAATACATATGTCTAACCCAGTCATATAGTCTTTGTTGGGTCTATGACCCAATATTGAAAAAATAGTTATAGAATTAGATTTTCTGTTTGAGTGCAAAATTTACTTTACAAAATTATAATTCTGTTGTTTAAATACTGAATGTATAGTATGAATTATTCTCTAATAGTAGTATCTGTTTTAAAGTCACACATTGGTAAATATTGCCTTAATAATGGTTATGAGTCAGGAACTGTTCTCAGCACGTTATATCAATGAATCCTTTCAAATAGTTAATGTGGTAAGTGTAGACCAAATCAACTGATAATTAGCTAAGCCTCAGAGGATTTGAGTACTGTATCTATATTTATATGGCCAGTGAGTAGAGAAGTTGAGTCTTAATCCCAGTGATCTGACAGCAGTGATCTCATTTGTGTATGTGATTCCAGAATCACTGTGGGAGAATGTGAACCCATAGTTAGACAATGCATAGTTTCCAGCAACAACTAGAGTCTTATCTTGCTCTGAGAGTGAAGAAAATACATCATGATAATTTGGTATTATTGTAATGTGAAAAGCGTAAGGAGAATAACTCACAAGAAAAATATTAAGTTTTCTGAAGCAAGCTTCTCTTGTGGCTTCCAGATTAATGTGCTTGCATATTCTAAGCAATGTTTTCCACAGACAGATTTTCTGTGTAAGCAGAAATTGGCTTAATTTAAGGAGGTACAAAGGATGGTAGAGTATTTTGTGTTGACTACAGAGGTTGGCTGCCATTTGTTAGTGCCGTAAAATTTTGTAAAGCTGCTCTGAGATTCTTTGAAATTCATTTATAATAACGAGACTGGATGCTTTACCATCTTCTGCAAATGTTTCCTAGGAGATTTAGTTACTCATGTTCCCTACTTTCTGTAGTTTATTTCCATTCTATGATTATCTTTTGAAATAATTTCAACAATTGAATCTATTATTTCTGGTTCTGAGAAAACATTAGCTAAATGACAAATTTAACAGTTTAATCCAACAAGCCTTTAGTGGTATATATACGCATGTGCTACTAAAGGAGTCAAGAAATTAACTCCAGCTGTTAAACTTTGAATAAAGAAAAAGAAGGTAGGGGAGGGAATCTTGATAGCCACTTTGGTAATGAAGCAAAGTGAGAGAAAATATCATCCTGGAGCTCAAGGGTGAGTACACTTAATGGCAAATGAAGTGAGACCTGACCACCTGCTCATCCACATGGTGAGATATGGACAAATACCTCTTCTTGAGAATGAAAGAGTGGATATATGAATGAATAGGTGAATGAGCAAATGAAGTCCTGAGAACTGACCACCTGCTCATCCACATGGTGAGATACAGACAAATACCTC